TGCGTGGAGGGGCTGCGAGAGAGCTGGAGAGGGGCTGGTGATAAGGGCATGGGGTGACAGGACAAGGGGTGATGGCTTCAAACTAAAAGAGGGCACATTTAGATTAGATCCAAGGAAGGAATTCTTCCCCATGAGGGTGGTGAGGCCCTGGCCCAGGCTGCCCAGAGAAGCTGTGGCTGCCCCCTCCCTGGCAGGGTTCAAGGCCAGGTTGGACAGGGCTTGGAGTAGCCTGGGCTGGTGGAAGGGGTCCCTGCCCAGGGCAGGGGGGTGGAACTGGGTGATCTGTAAGGTCCCTTCCAACCCAAACCAGCCTGTGATTCTGTGACTTCCTTAGCTGGTTGGGGTTTTTTTGTTTTGTTTTGTTTTATGTGATTAACAACATGCAGTCTTCTCATCCTGTTGCTCTTTGAATGTACACAAATCTTTAGCATCTGGAAAAACTGTCAGGCAAGCTGTTCCACTGGTTCAATTACCACTCTGTCAAGAGCCACCTTCCTTATTTTCATTCTTGCTCTTCTTTGCTAATATCGATGCCTCCCTCTGTTATTGCACTGCCGAAGGCGAACAACTGATTCCTGTCCAACCTTTCCTTACCACTGGCCATGTTGTGTCTCCCCATCATGCCCCCATCCCCTAAGGAGAACCAAGCTCTTCTTCCTGGCTGAAGCATTGGTTTACTTACTCATCTGCCACATCGGGCATTTCAAAAAACGCATACTGGGCATCCAGATTTCCAGGAGTCCGACTGCTCCTGGAAATTTACCTGTCAGGACATACTGTCTTGTGAACGAAAGGGTTTGCTATGTGAAACATCTCTGCCTCAAAACACAGAGATGCAAAAAACAGTTTCCAGCTCCACAGAATAGTTCCATATTTTTAACAGTCCCATGGATCTTTCTTTTAATAAATCCCCATAGCTGGGCGTGCAAAGTGGTCAGCTTTCAGGTGAGGAGGTGCAACTGTTTTCTGGGGTATTTTTTTGGACACAGTCAAAACTGCTTCCCTAGTTGGTGGTAACCAACACTTTATAAAGAAGTTATCAAAGGTTATTCCTCACTTAAAGAAACACCCATTACCATTTCTCTCTCCTACAGGGAGAAACACAGTCCAAATATTCTCATGGCAGGAAAGCACCAAAACGGAAAATGTTTTCCAATCTCTTAATGTTGAAGAGATTTTATGTCCGAAAGGCAAGGAGAAAACTTCTCTTTGCACTGGTTTCAGAAACAAATGTCCAAACTGCCTCTGAAGCCTTACTCGCTCCGTTTCAACTAAGCATGGGAAAGCTGCTGGGAACACTTTCTTCTGGCCCCAAGTGAAAGGGTAAGATACATTAAGACTTTAAAATGGAAACACTTCCCCTGTCAGTTTATTTTCAAGAGACTGCATGAACAAGAACTTATTTTAGAAACTGAATTTTGAGTAAGCGGTTCTCATTTCTTAAAATTCCTACTGCTCTTCTGTCAAGAAAGTTTCACTAATTTCCTAGTCATCCAAGAGCCCTTCTACTAAGATGACGGGAGTTAGGTTTGAACTTTTTGAAGTTAAAAATAGCTGTATTTTCTTCTTCCCCTATCATTACATCTCTTCCCACCTTTCAAGCTGACTTTTGTGTATCACAGATGCAGCACGTTTTTACACCTCTCCTATCACTTCAGGTGACACAACAATCAAAGACTCTGTTTGCTGTTTCTATGTTGCTTTCAAGAACATAAACAGTTTGCCTACAGTTTATAGCAATTCTCCATGTCAAAGGAGCTACACTTGCAAAAGCTACCTTTTGGTTAAACTGCATTTAATCTACAGCTTTGCGAGCACAGGAGTACCACCACAGCAGTCCTGATGCTAGGTGGCATCCCCCGGCAGCACAAGGTCCTGTTACTGATGCAGCCATGTCTGGAGGGTACGAGAGGGGAGTTCGGAAGCGAAGAAAGCTCACACCAATTTTCACCGTGCTCACAGGCTACTTACTGCCAACGTGCTGTCTCCAACATTTGATGCAATGAGTCCCTCAATTGTGCCATATTCTGCATCTCTAGAATTGAGCCTCTCCATATGGTTTTTCTGTATTCTTCGGATGATTAGCACAGCTACCGCAGAAAAAACTATCAACACTATCACAGGAGCCAGTATAACAATGATTAGTGTTTCCATGCTGTAACCTCCAGACTCTCCTTGAAAGGTTTGCCCTTGGAAAGGAGAGGGGAGAGGAGAGGAAAAAAAACAACAAAAAAACAAAAGAGAGGAAAAAAAAATAAAATAAGTTTGTGCATTCTCAGAGAAGTATTTTTAAAAGCAGCAGCACTGACACCGGTGCTTAGCTTGGTAGCCACCCGGGCTGAACAAGCGGCCGTGACAGAGCCATGAGCGTGCACTCACACAAACATGCCAGTGCAGCAGGCCCCGGCAGCGCTGTCGGAACCACCCCGGCCCCTTCAGAACAAATCCCACCTCTGACTGTACAATCCACTCATTGGCAGCAACTCAGTCCTGACCCTGACCGTGCACTTGGACCCCTACTACTCACCCAGCAACACAGATCACCCAACCTGGGGACCTCAGATGGGTGCCCGTGGGCCCCAGGGTGGGGAACAAGGTGGAAAGGGCCTTACTGTGCTGATTAAATCCTTCCTTCCACTGGCACAGAGGCCATCTCACGCCCACCACATCAGATCAAAGCCGAACCACTTTTCTTTCTCAAAACTCACTATTTATTAATTAACCTCTCACCTTTGGAAGAAGGCAACTGTGCAGTGATATTCATGTTGCACAAGTACCCTTGGCAGCACTCAACAGCTTGGTCAGGAGAGGGAGGTGTTTTGCACGTCATTTTCCCTTGTTCATAGACTTGAAAGCAGCCTTTCTGGTAAACCTTAGCACCGTCATTAATGCTCAGGGAAGCAAAACATTGCTGGCCCTGGCAACGATCTCCATTCCCACAGGACATGCCTTCACACACGCATTCGTAGTGGACCATATTTCGCTTCAGTTCATCATCTGTAGAAGGGAAGAGTTGAGAAAAAAGACACCATTGTATTCTTAATAGCCTCCGTTATACAGAGATAACGAAATCATTAGGCAATAGAACCTTCTGCTTAAGGGAAGAATTACTACCTGCAGCTAGCGCTGAAGAACCACCAAGTACGAGCTAATGATACTATTTTAGCCACTTCAGCAAGACAAAGATACGAGTTTGCACCATCAAAGAAACACCAGTCATATCTGCCCACTCCAAGTACTCAAATTTAGAGAGTTCAGTGACATTTTACATCATCTCTCTCACACACACACTACTGCCAGTATACAACACGGGAGGCTCATCCACACATGGACACTCAGAAGAGGGGAAAAAACCTAACAAACAGTGTACATTTAAAAAGTTTCGCTAAACCACGTTATATTTCTGTATGGAGATGGGTTATTTTCAAGCATTCCAGAAATCACTTTAACTAAATCAAATTAAGGCTGTTTAAATTTGCAGTAGACATAGCTACGCAGGATTTAGTGGGTTTAACTAGCTTGCTTGAAAAGTAGATCTGGATTGACTTTCCCAGGAAGACAAGCCTTCGAAGAGTAACTTGTGACTCTGAGTAACCACGGAGATAAAAAGTAAAGTGAGAAGCAGCACATGCTGTCAGCAGGCACAACACCTCCCTTCCAACTCCAGGTGCTTTGGCTCAGTAGAGGGAAGAACTTTTAAGAGAATGCACAGAGTAGGAAACTAAATTTCTAAGTCTCCTCAGCAAAGTGTCGGGAGCCCCCCAGCTGGGAAACACGCCCCGTCTCTGCGCAGAGCCGCAGACGCTGCCACTTTCAGGACGTGCCTTTGAACGCACAGCACTGGGTCGCGCCGGTCGCTGCAGGAGAGGACACCGCTCTCGACTGGCTCACAGGGAACACTGGGAGCTCCTCTGTTTGCTGGAAAATACAGGTGCCGGCGGTGTAAACCGCCAAGTGCACTCACAGGTGGCTGAGCAGAGAGGCACAGCTGCGAAGGACAGAACAAGTCGCTGCTCTCTGTTACACACATCCCACGCATACACACGCTTATGGCAAGTGAACTCAGATTTACTTTCTCTTTCTTAGTTCTAACACACAAGAAAAATTTCCAGCCACAATACAGTGGATGTTCCTGAAACAGCAGCTGAGCATACCATGCATTGGACTTTTTCAAGTCTGTCATTAGAGTCTGCCTGCTGGGAATATAATTCAATTTGTTTTCCGCTTTGTTTTCCTCCCCTCCTCCCAGAATGAACAAATACACAGATATAATTTTCCATTTTTCAACCACATACAAACGAAGTCAGGGAAAGAATCCTGAAATCAGACAGCATCTGTCACACTGATTTCAAGTACTGGTATGCACAATTCAAGTCATACCCATACCGGTTTTCAAAAAAAGTAAGAAAAAAAAATGCCAAACTTTACTGTAATCATCGTTGTGCTCGCTCTCGTCCCCCAACAGCGGCAGTGAAACACAGCTGGTGCTGCAGGAGACCGCCCTTTGCCCTGGCTGGCACTCTGAGCCGGCCAGCTGCCCAGGGACCCCTCCCCAGGCACGGGACCTGTCGGGAGCGGTGCGGAGCCTACCGAGGTCCCTCGGCAAGGGCAGCCGGCCCCGGACAGCCCTGGGCACGAGGACTGCGGTCCCTCAGCAAGCCAGGCGTTCCCCCAGTCAGCGAGGAGCACGGTATGCGAGGACAGCGCCAAGGAGGCTGGAAGGCCACAGTCCCGGCCATGGCGGCTGTTCGGTAACCACAGAAACAGCTGCTACGCCGGGCAGGACAACCAACCTGCCATCGAGAGCCCGACCGAGCCCACCAGGAAGACCGTCCGGCCAGCAGCCTGGCCCAGCCTCATGTCTCCCCCCCCCTGGCCCCGGGACCC